TGCACAATCACCGATGACTGACGCGTTCTTATTGATACGGATATCTAATTTTATATTGTTTTAATTCGTTTTATTTGACATCCAGTTTTAATGTCTATTGGCAATTTATTTTTGTATAAATCAAATTTTTTGTTTAATCTGTACAATTGCAAAGCCCTGAGCAGCATTATGCAAGTGGTCGCTAACACGTGTTGTCGGCTCCCGCGCTACTCACGACACCTTCGTTGGTCTTCTCCATAATTGTCTCGATGTTATATTTATTTCTTATAAATCTAAAAGCTCGAGCTATTCCCACACAGTGCACAACTTATAAAATAACAAAGGAAGATAAGCAATAGTGAAAAAAAAATTCATTTTTTGCGATGTTCAAGGAGAACGTTGAATTATAATAAAATACTTATAATGAATGATCTTGCTAATGTAATGATTGTTATTAAGAGACGATATACATTAAAAAAATCTGAAATCAACCATTATGTCTAATATTTTGCTTTAGTAGCAGAAAATATTTAAATTATAGCTATATATATATATATATATAAAAAAAAAAATAAATGAACAACTAGGTTTTTCTCCTGTATAGTGGAGGTGGTTTGCAAACATAAATTGCACAAGGACAATCATCCAGACCAGGAACAAGTACTTGTATTTCTGTAGGCCATACAAATACTTGTTCCGTGCGGGATTCAAACCCGCGGCCCCCAGCGCTGCTACGTATTGCTAAGCCACTCCGCCATGGAGCCGTGTCATTTATATTAGTTATGGAGAAATTAGTTCCCCGTTCTGTCGCAAATTATGTTCACATTAATATTTAATTTCTCAGACATCTAGGTTTCCTCGCGATGTTCCCATTCACCACTGAGTACTTGGCAAATTGCAATTAACTATTACATGGAATCCGAGTAATTCGCCTATAATGAAATTTACTGAACTATAAAAACTTTACGTGATATACAATATTTATACTCACGAGAATATACCAACAAATTGATGATTTGGAGAAAGTTAATGTATTTATGATTATGATGTACCTAGATAATTAAGGCCTGTACCATTTTTAATGAGAGTAATCGAAAAAAAATCATTACTCATTAAGTGGATGGTTGATGATTAGTGACTTTACTAACCAACATTGAATATTATTTATTAACTTCACCTACATAACTTGAAATGCTCTCGCACAGGTTGACCAATGGAGAGTGTACACCGAGAAGCAGGCAAAGAATTTTCTGCTCCTTTGTTTTGTAGAAAATTAGTCAACTGGCAGATTTTTTTTATAAAGTCAGTTTTATATAGTTTTATTCAGTGTCAATAAAACTCATAGTCCACAGGTAAGTGACTACCAAAGACTACAATATTATATACGGAGTGACTACTGCCAGCGTGACATCTACACTCAGATTTTAAACAAGGGAGGTTACATTTTTTTATTAACTGGCTTTACGGCTCTTGAGTCTAGCCCTTCTGAGCTTATCATATCTTTCGGAATCTTCATTTTATATTCCTTTTCTTCACAATATGCTGATGCGTCACATTGCGAAGCCCTTGGGAGATTTCGACGACAGCTCAACCTAGCGGACAGTTGATTACGACAGCCACTCAAGTTCATAAGGCGCCCAAGCGATCAAAATAACTTCAAGTTTATGTCGACATCAAAGCACTTGTTTCGTTTTCGTTTAATAGTTTGCACACGCGGACACTTAATTCACAAAATCGCATCACTTTTACGAATCAAAATCCACTTCAAACAAATATTCAAGCGACAAAACAGGAGCGACAATCCATCTACGGCCAAGTTCCCGCCAAAACCTCTCAGGAAGGTTACAGATGCGTTGTCACCTCTGAGTAGGTACCATGATGGATGCTGTTTTCAGATGTAGGTAAGAGGTTGATTCCTACTAAGACGAAATCCTAGGAAAAAAAGAAGTACTACTACATAGAATGCCATTAGTAAATTCTCTGCGTTTGTATATATTTCTATTGCAAAAGCAAGCAATAAGATATGTTTATAAGAAAAAACTACGTAAGTAAGCATTTAAATAGTCCTTAATAAAACAAGGTGACTCTTCAATAAATTCATTGACTAAATTGGAGATATAAGATGGTTCGTATTAAGAGAAATCTGAGCCAAGACAGACCATCCTATCCACCCCACAGGGCCCAGTGATCAGTCTCTGCACAAAACATTTCCACAGCGGCGATGTATATCTGTCCGCTGTGGTCCTCAGAATGCTGTTGTGGCTGACTCGTACCCTGTTAATAAGTAATAACATATTGATGTAAAAGAAGTGAGAGAGCTGTATCATACTCGTGCTAAACGGAAGTCAGTAATATCTGCTTACAGCCGTGAGAGTTATGTTATGACTCTTCTAGATTTTATGTACCTTCGTAAAAAATGAATAACTTTGGTAAGCATGTAACATTCTCAAGCAGGACTCCCCACAATCATAAGTTAGGTTAATCGAAACTATGAATAGTTTCTTAATCAATTCCTATATAATAAAATTCTCTGTTATATATGAGCCGCTAAAAGAGATTTTTTTTTAAATGTACCTTGACTAGTAAGTCCTAATATAAAATCGAAGACTGCTTTGAGGATAACGATGTATGGAAATAAAGTTCTTTCAAGGCTAAATAAGTTGCAATACCATCTCGGAGTTTCTTTCTCTTTATTTCTTTGTCTTTCTTTTTTATTTGGATGTTTATTAGAATTTTAACAAGTCTAAACTGAATAAAATAACATTAAAAAATATACAATAAAGTAACGGAATAAACTTCTGTCCTGGGAAGAACCAGCAAGAAACCCAGCGGGAGTTTTAAAAAAAGTAAATGATAACATATGGTCACAAACTATTTACAAAACTAATTTTAGAAACAGCTTGGCAGCGACCAACTCATTCCCAGCCTATATACAGCCTACATACGCCCCACTGATGGGCATAGGTCCTCTATCATTTCTAAAATGTTTGAAAGCAGAATGGAGTCCACTTTTTTACGGCCTATATACGTCCCACAGCTGGGCACAGGTTTCTCATTTCTGGGAGGATTTTAGGGCAAGGAAGTGTCCGCCGCGCTGCCCAAATGCGTGTTGGCGAACTTCACATGTCTTCGAAATATTTATTTTTTTAGTTACTCGCGTTCTGTTATATTTACTTTATTTATTTTATCATCGAACTATATTACTAGCGAGTAGTAACACTTCAATGATTTTATCGCAATTTTTATTTGCACACACCTATCCTTATAGTCTTTCAAATAAGTTCGCGCAGATATTTGATAATTCGCGGTTCTATTTGAAGGTTTTTCCTACATTCTCAATCGGTAGAGTGAGCATTATCCAACAGACTTTATACGTTTCTTAAACCCTGGATATATGTAGCACTCCAGGCTAGCCTCTCTTGAGGATGTTCTTTCTCCCTTCTTAAGGGTTGCAATATTGTTCGCATTACTGGTACTACCAATCAAATCTCAGGGTGTACTAGGATGTACTCATCCTAGTACACCCTGAGATTTGATTGTACAAAATCTGACTTTTATTTAACTTTCTTATACAATATACGCTAATAAAACATTTTTTTTATTATTACTTAACTCTGGAACAACGTAGGAATTGTACATTACAATAGTTTTTACTTTGGCAAAATGGACACGGTGATACTAAAAAAATCAGTATAGGTCAATAGACGACGACGAAAGTAATAATTGTAGAAATAGTGGAACAGTAATAATGTTTAATAAGGAATGATAACACATTCATTGAATTTGAATGATATTTAACTTTCAAATAAATCTGTTGGTATGAATGATACGCGCGACACCTACTGTACGTTAATTGTACTATACCTAAAATTAACCGCAATCTGATGAACGGTGTGACAGCGCATAAAATACGAACAAACAAACATTAATTTTTATACATTAGATCGAAATCGGATAGGAATGTACGCATTTATGTGAATTCCTTAAATTTCGCACGTTGTACAATAAACAAAATCATCAGAAATTTTAAGCCCCAAATAAATTGTTCTCTCGGGAGCCGCAATTAAAGAAATTAAAGACTTTAATTGACATTTGAGTGGACACTTTGCTTCACGGTTGTTCCTTGAATAGTGTCTGAGCTCCGCAGAAACATCTGTTAGGGGTGAAAGATTCCTCCCAAGCAGTGCAACGGTTCGTTAATTGTCGCGTACGCAGTGCACGTAGCGTCGCTGACATGTCACAAGACGTCAGCCACCGGCAGCGGCGATCTCTCAACGAATTCCGATCGCGAAGAGCGAAAAAGACACGAGCCGAGCATGCACGGGTAAAAAGTAGCAGAGCCAGAGCTGCACCGCGGGAGACTCCGCCGCGCCCGCGCTCCCGCCATCCGTGCGGCCCGAGCGCTACCGAATTAAAATGTTCATTATGTAAGAAAACCTGCGTCCTTTTTATCGATATTGCATTATTGGCTGCGTTTGGCTGAAAAAAGCGCTAGCAAGCGTTTGTAAGCAAAATGGCGATCGTAAGCGGTAAGCGCTGGCAAATCTTAGGTAGCTATTTTCCTCTAGGACACGAAGTTAGCTTTAACCGGGGAACCTAACCTAATTTAAATATATGTTTGTAAAGTATTCATATTAAAAACTTACCAATCATGAATTTTTAATAACATATAAGTATAATATGTTTATTCATGTCATTATATTACTCGAAACTAATATTGCACAAAACAACTTAAAAACTCTACTTCAAAACAAATTAAAAAAGCAAAATGGCGGATTGTGTCGGCGCTACTGAAGTTAGCAAACGTGTCCTGGCGGAATACTGTTTAGTTTCGCCATTTAGCTTACAAGCGCTTGCTAGCGCTTTTTTCTGCCAAACGCAGCCATTGTCTTGCTTGTGTGATAACTGTCGTTCGATCGAGCATAATAAATAAGTTGTAGTACTAGAGACGAAAAATAATCGCGCGTAGCTCGAATATTTAGAAGTAATGCGGTGCAGACGAAACGTTCTAGTTCTCAGTATTACATGAGTGAATTTGAGGAACCGGCGACGAAGGGCCGGTCGGCGCGCGTCGCGACATACAAAAACGGTGCAGTCTGGTGGCCGGGCGTGTGCGCCGGGCCGGGAGCCCGCGGTGGCTCGCTCGCGGCCGTCACGCTGCCCGCCAGCCACGCTCGCGCACTTCGCATGCGAAGCACTCCGATAGGAATAACCATTGACATGGTAATTAATTTAAAGTACCCACTTATTTCGCCAAATGTAATGGGTAATGTCAAATGAATTAACTATTAAGTGAATGGCGAAGTAGGAAAATGTGGAAAGCATGGCAATGGGCTGTCTGAAGGCAATGTATGCAGACGCCGGCATAATACGAATGACGCGATATAACGGATCGACCCGATTATTTCTGTCTATTTCACGACTGTTTAATAGCAATGTTAAAGTTGGCGAAAGCAAACACACCCGCCCTGTTTATCGAATATTTTACGATCTTCACTGGATTAATTTTAAAATGCGAAGCTTTGTAGAATCGGTTGAAAGATTGTTTGATTCCAGAATGTGTTACTAGTTTTAACTATTTCTGATATTTATATTACAGTTAGTCATTTAGCATTCTGATTTACCAGCATGGTTGTTTATTCAGACCCAGGTGTTTATAATACACCAATACTTTATTTCAAATAAGATTTAGGTACTGTGTAAGAAATAATTTCACGTTGTAACATCTGGTCGAGGTCTGCTCAGTAAGTTTTTACATCATTTTAATAATAACAATTATTTTAATATAGGACACAAGTAGTCAGGTTAATATAAGTTTAATATAGGTTAGTATATCTATAATACTAATGTTTGGGTTCCAAGTTTGCTTTAAAACGTTTAAAATTTGAAAATGGCTTAAAAACTTCGTATCCAATGACCTAATGACAAATAGTGTATTCTGATTATTATCATAACACTGCTTATTTTGTTTATGAAATTTAAAAGCAGCCGCTGTAATTATAATTAACGTTATTCGACCTAATGTGGTTTTTGTGTTAACTCACGCCGTCTCGCTTCCGTTCAGGTGACGAGCGATATTATCAGAGGTCGTTCGACTACACAGTTTGTCACTCACCTAATGTTATATTTCAATACACAAAATATCTACACCGGCATTCGTTGTGTTGACATACGCTCGTTATGTCATGTTCTTATGCCTTCCAAATTAATAGCCCAATAGATAGTGGCTGTTATTTTTGTTTAAGCTTCGGTGTCATGCGTATGGTTTGTTGCCATTAACATAAAAACTACGCTCGTGGCGTCAGTGTTCTTGAATAATAATAAATTAATAAAAAATTAAAAAAAAAAAAATAAAAAAAAAAAAAAAAAAAAAAAAAAAAAAAAAAAAAAAAAAAAATAAAATATGAAAAAAAAAAAAAAAAAAAAATAAAAAAACATAAAAAAAAAAAAAAAAAAAAAAAAATATTATATTTAAAAAAAAAAAAAAATTTTTTTTTATATAAATATATCTTTGCCTTTTCCTTCCTAAAATAAATTTAAAAATAAAATAAAATAAAAAAAAAAAAAATTTCGTACTATATAATTTTTCTATAGTATATAGTACAATTTACATAAATGTAGTACGATATTATAGTACGTCGCAGGCAACGCTACTAACTACTAACTAGGCACATCACTTACATTAAAAAAATCACCGGTTCTTAATACGTCCGCAAACTTAACTGTGTTAAAATATAGGAGATATTCTATAAATTATAGAATGTCAGATGTTATCTGTTAGTAGAAGAGAATAGTACCAATGAATAAATGCGTGAATGCAGTACCTACAATTATCAGCTAAAGTAGATTATGACGATGCGTAGATTTAATTTTATTATGTGTATATTTTAGTTTTTCTCCGGAAATGCTAACAATAGTCAGCGCAACGTTTTATAAACGACCCTTTTGTTATGTTTCCCCGATATTATTAAAAAATATGCAAATCGATCGCGTTGCGACAGGATGTTCATTTTTGTAATAATGTCGATGTATTTGCATGTAAATTAAGTTTGTATCCGCGGATGTAACAATTACAAATTGTAATTCATGTCGTTATAGTTATACAATATGGAACATTCGACCTCGCCCAATATCATGTAGTAATATTGCACAGGAAACGTCGGCGTGAGTTCTCATAATGTTATAAATATTAAAAATCTTGTCAAAATTATGGCAATTCTAATTGTGTTATTTATTTAAAATGTTATTTCGAAATTAGAATACTTCTTATTAACTGTCTTTGTTGGTCTAGTTTTTTTAAACATAAAATAAGGGTGACAGACCAACACACAGTCCACCTGATGATAAGTGGATGCTGTAGCCCAAAGACATCTACAGCCATCCTCGATTCAGGATATGTTGTCACTTTTCACCTCTGAGGACTAAGCTGGAAAGCGTCGTTTCCAGTAAAATGGGTTTCCGGTTCTCTACACTTACCATACGAAACACAGCATCATTAATCTACTATTTCAGGCTGGTATTGCTAGCATTCGTAAACGGGACACTTACAATCATGAGGACCAAGGCCAAAACCTCATTTGTTGGGATTTTCTGTCAAGTAATTCTCCGTAGCATCCTGAATTCAGTAAGACTGCAATGTTGCACCTACCTGCTTTGGAAAGAACCGATGATCTCTTGCCGATCGTGCCAAGACGGATAGAGGCAATGCAATATGCACATGCTAGTTTTCATTGCGATTGGTCGCTGTGGTCGAAATTCGGTCCGGAGGAAAAGCGGAATAGCTTACTGGTAAACTGATCTATGACCTTAGTAGGTTAATTTAAAAAAAAAATCAACAGTGGTAAGCATTTACTTCCTATCTCAGAGAACATAAGTGATAATATTATTACAATTTAAAATCCGGTTACCTTCATCAATTATATAAATAAATATGGGTTGAAATATATGTAGCATGGAGTATTAAAACAAAAACAATATTCTTGTATTCACAATACGTTTTCTAAACGTTAAACTGACGTTATATAGTTTTGCTATTGACCAACAGATGGCGTTACTTGTTGTATCTTTTACTTGGTCAAATGATACAAATTAAGTGTTTAAAAATGTTGTACATTTTTAATAACAGTTATTTTGAGATGTGCATCATCAGCAAATTAGTGTAAAGACATAGAAAAATGATTTCATTTTAATATAAAATGTATGTATACTAAAACATGCAAATATCAAAATATTGTGTAAATTTTATTAATGATATATCAACATAAGACTCTATCTTAACATAGGTCGGTGGCAAAAGATAATAAAGGTGAATAGATGGTGACTGAAGTGTACGCGGGCTTGCTCAGTCGGTGCAGCGAGTGCAAGGCGGGAGGCGAGCTGCAGGCTGCATCGCACGCCCCGTTACCGCCCCACGCCCGCCGCCCCGCGCCCCGCCCGTGCCCCCTCGCCTCCTTGCCTCCTCGCTTGTTTTGATGTAAGGCGTCCACTGGCCACTATGCAAAACTTGCCTTGTAACAGTGTACTGTTCGGGATTTGTCTGCACTTGTCGTTATCACGTCGATGTTCGGCTTTGAGTTATTCTAGGGTATCACTTGCGCAGTGGGTACTTTTTTACATAGTAGATACTAGATAGTATTTTATATGCATAGTGATATCTACATAAATAACTTTAACAATAAATTTTATTATTATTATAGTCAACCAAATCTAAGAAATACATTTTGACAGCTGTCAGACTTATTGCACCAAGCACGCCAACCAAAAAATGGGAACGTACAATATTCGATTCTTAAAAAAATCGATATCTATTATTTAGAGTTGGTAATCATTTACAGTTTGGTTTGAATAACACTCGAATAAATTTAAAAAGGATAATTTAAAACACGAGATTTCTCAGTTTCTTTGTATTTGTTGTGACTGCTTATTTCTAGAGGCACATTTATAAAAATTTAAGATCGAAACTAGATTAAAAAAAGTAGAGATGTCGTTGTTTATAATAAGAATTATTTGATTTTCAATAATGCCAAAGTCAAAGTCATCCATAATCAATTTTTGGTTTTTCTACCACTTTTGCCCAATCATCTTATGTCCAAAAAGTTAAAGCCGAGTCACAAAATAAGACGACAAACACAAAATCACAAAATTACTTTTTTATTCAATATAGATTATGAATAATACTTATAGAAAGTCACTTTTTTATTTTCCACTGGTTCGCAAAAAAACCTCTGTCCTGGGAAGAACCAGCAATAAACCGAACGCGACTAGTTAAAAAAAATAAGAGCTTACAATCATGCGTGTTACAATTAACAACACAAAACAAATTAGGAATAGCTTGGTAGCGATCACCTCCTTCCCAGGGGTTATTATCATCCATAAATTCCTTAATATTAAAATAACCCTTTTTATACAAACTTAATTTAATAGTTTTTGAACTTTGTGTATTTACGTCAAATTTTGTATATTTTTAGAAATTTTTTATAAAGGCGTATACATCGCCACAAGAGTGAATTACTGACTCTGTGGAGTCGAGTAACTGGTACCGAAATGGCGGGATATTGAAATTATGTAGTGGTTATTTGGCACAGCCTTGTATATGAGTTTTTTTGCCTACACAAACTTACTTTGACAAAGTAAAAACAATAAATTTTTTTATTCGTAATTCATGTAATTTTAAGGAACTTTGAAAATAAAATTTAATTTAAACAAATAATACATTAAAAAAATTAATGATTCGATTATTTGAATTTTTTTACCGACTATTTTAATATTTTGTCGATTATTCGCATAAAAATGAATTTTAATCATCCAAACACTACGGTAATGTATATAGCGACATATAATTGAAACGCCGTCAAGTAAAAAAAGTTGATACAGGTTATTTTTTAATATTTTGCTTTGTTTGAAAGCTTCAAATTTAAATTAGTGATAAAAAACTATACACGTTGTAATAAAATATAGATAACTTCATGATTCTTCGAATTTACGTAAAAGTTTATTTTAAATCGAGTGAGTACGCTTGTGCAAAGTTATTTCGGAATGATTAATGTGAAACGTCAAAAGGTATTTCTTAGATTTGGTTGACTATAGTTAAAGTAGTTCTTGATATTTGTAAATAAATCTGCCTTTTAAGAATGATGGGTCGTCACATTTTAAAAATAAAGCATAAAAAATGTTGTCTCTTAAATTTACAGTTGTTTTCTAGGATTTATATATATAAAGCAGC